TATAAATATTTTCCCCATTTCTCACCTTCTGCCATTTCTCATCTTCCTCCCTCTCTGTCTCTGGTGTCTGCAGGTACTTTCCATTCCTTTACTTTCTTTCCCACATTTCATTGATTCACAAAATGTCTTAATTAATCTAAAGACTTTCAGTAGTAAGTTCCGCTGATGTATACATGTCTGTGAATGAAAGTTGACTTTAGGCGTGAAACTCTGTGGGTAGAAGGAATATACTGTAAAGTAGCACCTAGCCGAGATCGCTGAGGTTTTACACACTAAAATCTCTCATCCACGTTACTGAGGAATGAGAAGAGATAAGAATACCTGCCCTTTGTTCCAGCTTCAACTGGGAAATTATTGCATCGCAATGTCTCACCAGTTCAATTAATTTTCTCAAGAGATTTTTGCTATAGGGTGCATGTGCTCACCAGAGAGACAGAAAGTGAGACATCACCCCCGAGAGGGGATGGCCACACCACAATCCCTTCTCCTCCATTCTCCTCCCAGGATTTTGGGTACACACACACCCCTGGCATTTCAAGCTGCCCGGTCCAGGGCTGGAACCGTGGTTGGCCACGTGGGAGTCCAGTGCCTTAACTGCTGCACCACTTGCTGACCTCTTGACCTAATATCTTAGTGGAGGCCACTCTGAGACGTCCATCCAGGGAGCACCTCTGCTGGGCAAACTGTGGTGAGGGCTCCTGCCAGCTGGGAACAGTCTTCCGCTCCGTGGATTGGAGGCACCTTGACCGTGACATCATGGTCCCCAGCGTACCTCCTGATGGGGACAATGAGGCCAGGACAGGTGAAGCCCACTGGCCCAGAGCTCGCCAGGGACCCGGCAGGCAGTGGGGGCGGGCTCTCGCTGCTACTTCAGGGACCCGTGCATCATGGCCTGCCACGCCTGCCACAAGACCCCCATCAGTGGTGCCCCTCCTTGTTCACCCACGTCCTGAACAAGGACGACTTCCCAACAGCAGTCACATGGCAGCACCACTTTTTTAAGATTTTTTTTATTGTAACCTATTTTCTACATCCAGTCATCACACACCACCACAGCTTGTACAATGAATTACGCAATCTGAGTACAAGTTGCCTCCTTGGATGGTACCAGGGTGTGGGGAGGCTTGTCTCAGCACTTACGCACAGCACCGCGGAAGCAGGCACTGGGGCGGGGACCATGGGCGATCAGGCCCATAAAGCTTTTCAGCCCGACTGACCGTGAGCCTCAGTGCTGCGGTCTGACACGGTGGAGAGGCGCCCTCACTACAGCAGGGGAGTGACCCCTGGGCGGAGGCCCACGCATCCCTCCTGCTTCGCTACCCGTGTGTGACCGTCTTGAAACACGCACTCTTGTTTCCAACCCAGAAGCATTCCTGGGGCTTGGAACTATTCCGTCTTGATTCCTGTGCTTGGGACACCTGTCCTTTTTAACGTCCTGTTGTGGCTTCTCTTCACCTCTTATTCTGATTTTATTTACGCTTCGAGTAGGTAGCATTTCAAAGGCATACGAAAGTGGACAGAGGGTGACAGTCCATGGACCCGGCCTCTGCATTCCTGGCTTGTCTTTATTGTCTTAGCAAAGATGCTGCCTGTAGAGCACACGCTTTTTCCATTGTTCTTATTTTTTAAAGAGTTACTTATTTAATTTTATTACTATTATTATTTAAAATTTACTACAGGATACATGTACTCACTAGAGAGAGGGAGAAGGAGACAGTGAAAGTGAGAACGCAAGCCACCAGGTCCAGGGCTGGAACCACAGCCGGCCATGTGGGAGTCCAGCGGCTCAGCCTCCGCGCCACTTGCTGGCCCCCCGGAAGCATGCACTTGTAAAGCAACACACAGATTTTCTTTTTGGTGCAGTAAAGTGGGGGTCAGGGTGTCCTCAGGCCCCGGCTGGGGAAGACACTGAGAAGCAGAGTCCGAGCTGCGCACCTGCCTCCCTGCGGGTCCAGACGGTGATCCTGAGTGACGCCCAGCGTGGTTCTCGGCGTTTGAGTCAGAACCAGCAGCAGGAGCAGCCCCTGGGGCTGCTGGGTACATGGTATCAGGGAGCCCTAGCCAGGCATGGGAGCCAGACATCCGGGGGTGGGCCCAGGGAGCTGGGTGTGTAGAAGCTGTTCTGGTGCATCTTACTAATGGAGACCCACTGCGGAGAGTGGGCCAGAGCTCAGGCCCAGGTTCCATTTCAGCCAGACCTGAGGAGCTGTGTGGCCCTGGGCAAGTGACTTAACTTCTCTGCATTTCGGTTTCCCTTGTCAAGTGACGATAGGGAAAGAACCTACCTGATAGGACTAGTGTCAAGTTAAATAAATGACTTGTGATGCTCGTTAGATGGCGACACATTAAAAAGTGTTGGGGGACTATCAGCTATTCTTATTACCAGCGTTAGCATCACCAAACACAGTTATTAGGAACAGTGGCAGTGCACTCCATAGCGGGAATGGAACTCTCTGAAGATACGATAGTAGAGAGGATGGTGTGAGGGGGAGAGTGGGTGGGAGAGGGTGGGGGAGGTGCAAAAGGAGGAGACCGTTACAGACCAAAACTGTAAAGTTCTCTGCTATAAAGAAGTATATATTTTGGGGGAACCAGCAGTTAGCGTAATGGCTATGTCGCTGGACTCCCACGTAGTCGACCGTGGTTCGCGTCCCAGACCTGGTGACTTAAAACTCACGTCGGGTGCGTGTGCGTGCGTGCCCAAGATCCCAGAAGAGAATGGAGGAGAAGGGATTGCGGCGTGACCATCCCCCCTAGGGGGTGATTTCTTGCTTTCTGTCTCTATGTCTCTCTCTGTCTGGTGAGCGCACGTAACCTATAACAAAAAAACCTCTCGAAAAAAAAAAAGAAGTATATATTTTGTATACACCACGATAGGGATTTAATGTAAAATTAATCTAAAAAGAGAAAATAAAGTTAAATTTATAAAGGACAAGGAGGTAATAGTGAGTGCTCCATATTGTCATAATCTGTAAAGTAAACGTGGACTTCTTGCTTGGAGAAAATGTCTTCTCCGAAGAACCCACAGCAATGCGCTGGGTCAGGTATTCCCGACACAGTCGTGCACGGCCTGGTGTGGGGTCTGCTCTGAGTCCTCACTGTGTGGTGTGCTGACAGACCTCGGGCACACCCCCGCCACCACAGGCTCTGTCACACATGTGCTGCATGACGCCGGCCACTGCTCTAAGGCTGACTCCCGCACGGCACGCCACTGTGAGCACCTAGGCAGTGATAGCATGATGGTAAGCCCCCGAACAGATGTAAACATGGAAAAGGTTCAGTGAGAATATCGTGCAGAAGATGACCCAGAAACTGCAGTGCACCTGCAGGACTGGAAGGTGCTCCGGGCGAGTCAGGGCTGCTTCCAGGTACAGGGAAGGGGAAGCGGGGGTGGGGCTCTGGCCGAGCCCCTCTGGAGGGTTCTCCCCTCCTCCCTGTCCGAGGGCACACGGTGCTCTTGGGTTATTCAAGCCAGCAATGTTCAGGAGAAACACCTCGTTGTCGGGGTACAACCCCCCACCTTCCCCTTTCTCCAACATGGAGCAGTTTCAAAGGAGAAAGCACATGCCCAAGAAGGAGACTTGAGGCTGGCAGAGTGCTTCAGCCACTGCCATCTGCGCTTAGTGACTAGGGCACACGTTCACTTACTGGGTCATTGGGAAAGGCATGACATGCTTCTGTGCAGAAAATCAGAAAAGACGCCATGACTTGTCCAGCAACCCAGTATTTCTGCTAAGAAAAACACAGGCAGAAAACGTGGTCTTTATTTTGCTATGACTTGTCCCACCTGAAAGGGTAGACATGAGCACCTTAGCTGGGCAAAGGAGACGCACAGTCTAGGATGATTGTGCCGAAGCCCTGCGCATCCACAAGTGCCATTTGTCTCTGTCGGGCATGTAGGAGCCGAGGGCAAGTGCCTTCAGGAGAAGTCTAATTCCAGCCATTGCTATTAGTTTGCTTTCCTAATTATTTTGTTCTAAATTCGCCCAGTAAGTAGCAATGCATGTCAGACACATGTTGTTGAAAATTGAGATTTATCAGCATCGTTATGGAGTGCCAGAAGGCTTGCTGTAACCCAGAAAGATTATTTGGGTGTCTAATGAAGCTTTTGAACGTAGCGTGTAGGCAGTAATGACTCAGAGTATTGCCTGAACGAGTGGGCATGCCGGATAAATTCGTGCGATTGCTTAACTAAGCACATAGCTTTGCGCTGCTTCTAGAGAGTAACTTGATTTAAAAAGCAAGCACCTCCACTTTCCCCTCCCTCTGCCATACCTTCATCAATTTCTGGGGCGTTAAGAGTCTCGTCCCCTGGACCACCAGCTGGTATCGTGGTTGAGGCGCTGGATGCCCACTTGGCCAACTGCCCTATGGGTCCCAGACTCGGCAGCTTGAAAATCATGCCAGGCATGTGCATGTGCGCCCACAGTTTCCAGAGGAGAGCGGGGAAGAAGGGCCTGTGGTGCAGCCGTTCCCTGGGGTTGGGGAGTCGGGGGGTGATTTCGCACTTTCCCTGTCTCTGTCTCTCTTTGGCAAGTGCACATGCCCCATGGTAAAAAAATCTAAAAAAATAAAAGTTCTTGTTCTCTTGCATTTCCTTGAAATGAAAGTAAGGGGAGTCTTCAGAAAGCTCATACATATTATGAAAAAAAGCTATGCACGGATTTAAAAAAAATTTCGCACAAAATAAATTTGTACTTTAGTCTCTTTTCTCCATGAAGTCTTGGAAGTCCCCCTGTCGAGATGGTGTCAAAAGGACGCAGTGGCGTCGTCACGAAGTGAGCAGACCTTGCATGGAAGTGGGGACTCGGTGGCTGGAAACCTGCTCCCGAGCGGCCTCTGTCTAGCTGGCCAGGAGCCTTGCACTTCCGGCCTTTGTACCTTTATTTCTCAGTGAGACGTGATTGGTCGATCGATCGACCGATTGATTGTGGTTGTGCTTTCTTTTGTGAACGTGCAGTCCTTTGTGAACATTCATCCCTTTGTTTTTGCCCCACGAGGCTCAAAACGCCCAGCAGCTGCATGAGCGGATCCAGTCGTCGAGCATGGACGCCAAGCTGGAGGCCCTGAAGGACCTGGCCAGCCTCTCCCGGGACGTCACCTTCGCCCAGGAGTTCATCAACCTGGACGGCATCTCTCTGCTCACGCAGATGGTCGAGAGCGGCACCGAGTAAGCATCTTCCGTCTGAGCCCACTCCGTCCTGTTCGGGACCGACGTCGGGGTAGCGTGACATCCCTGGGGGCAGAGTTTCTAGTCTGAAAGAGCAGAAACAGCGAGACTCTGGGAGAAGCCCTCGGAGGTGAAGGCTAGGCAGTGGGACTGTGACTCCACTAGCTCTGCTGAACTGCAGGCCGTATCTGAGACATGGCAGACATCTAGGAAATACGGGCATTTCAGACCGAGGGGCAATGCCAGACCGTTACTTCTAAAGGCTTAGTCAGGGCAAAAATGATGATTCTGCAAAATATCCCTGCTGTCTTGAAGGAGAACATTTCCTTCCCTGACCTCATTTAAAAATTAGAGTATCTGGGACCAACAGATAGCATCATGGCTATGTCGCTGAGCTACCACCCAGTAGACCGTGGTTCGAGTCCTGGACCCGGCAGCTTAAAACTCACCCCAGCCGCATGTGCGTGTGTGCCCAAGATCCCGAGATGAGAATGGAGACGGGATTGCAGCTTGGCCATCCTGCCTTGGGGGTGATTTCTCGCTTCCTGTGTCGCTCTCTCTCTCTCTCTCTCCAACAAACAAATGTACCCTATAGCAAAAAATTTCTCTTAAAAAATGTGAATGATTACATACATGTTCTTAATTATTTAAAACTAAATACAACTAACATGTTGGAGTACCTACTGCGTACAGAAGTTGGCCCTGCCATGGTGGCTCCTGCTGCTAAGACACTGTGCTTTTCAGACTGAGACCACATGGGCAACCTGGCTTTGGTTCCTGGTCTGCCCTGAAGACTGAGTGCAGAGCATGCACCTGTGATTCTGGCCACCCCTGAGGCTGAGGTGGGAAGACTGGGAGGTGGAGGCCAGATGGCAGCATAGCAAGATCCTGCGTATATATATATATATTTATTATATACAAGTGCATATACCCAGGCACACACAGAGACATGTGTACACATTATAGATATAGAGTACATGTAGTGCATATACCCAGGCACACACAGAGACATGTGTGCACATTATATATATAGTACATGTAGTGCATATACCCAGGCACACACAGAGACATGTGTACACATTATAGATATAGAGTACATGTAGTGCATATACCCAGGCACACACAGAGACATGTGTGCACATTATATATATAGTACATGTAGTGCATATACCCAGGCACACACAGAGACATGTGTACACATTATAGATATAGAGTACATGTAGTGCATATACCCAGGCACACACAGAGACATGTGTGCACATTATATATATAGTACATGTAGTGCATATACCCAGGCACACACAGAGACATGTGTACACATTATAGATATAGAGTACATGTAGTGCATATACCCAGGCACACACAGAGACATGTGTGCACATTATATATATAGTACATGTAGTGCATATACCCAGGCACACACAGAGACATGTGTACACATTATAGATATAGAGTACATGTAGTGCATATACCCAGGCACACACAGAGACATGTGTGCACATTATATATATAGTACATGTAGTGCATATACCCAGGCACACACAGAGACATGTGTACACATTATAGATATAGAGTACATGTAGTGCATATACCCAGGCACACACAGAGACATGTGTGCACATTATATATATAGTACATGTAGTGCATATACCCAGGCACACACAGAGACATGTGTGCACATTATATATATAGTACATGTAGTGCATATACCCAGGCACACACAGAGACATGTGTGCACATTATATATATAGTACATGTAGTGCATATACCCAGGCACACAGAGACATGTGTGCACATTATAGATATATAGTACATGTAGTGCACATACCTAGACACACATAGAGAGAGACATGTGTACACACCTGTGTATAAAATGCTGGGAGTGGTGCCGGGTTCCTGTAGTCCCAGCCAGGAGGCTGAGGCAGGAGGGTCATGATACGAAGAGGTGTAGTCGTCAGGGTGCTGGACTCCGACATGGCTGATGTGTTGGGTCCTGAACCCAGCAGCTGAAGATCACACCAGGCTGTGTGTGCGCATGCATGCACACACACAAAAAAGAGTGGGAGTTGGGATAATTTTAAGGATTTGAGCCTTGCCTTCCAAAAACTTACACGGACTGTTCTCTGGCAGAATTCGAGTGTAGTTCCTCCTGAGAGTTAGGCACCTGCAGGCTGGAACAGTTTTATCTCAGAGCCTCACCGGGGCAAGGACCCTGAGTGAGGCCTGGAGGAAGGAGCAGGAGGACGGGATGGGCTTTTCCGGTGGGGGCGCCCACGTTCTCAGGGAAAGCTTTGTTTCTCTAGAGCAGCCAGTGTGCAGGACCAGAGGGGCCCGGCGCCTGTGTGCGTGCAGAGAGCACCTCGACCCCTGCTGGCTGCAGGGAGCAGCAGTGCCCCCTCCCCGGTGGCCCGACTGCTGTGTTAGACTCAGCACAGAGAGCACACGGTTGCTGAATCAGCTCATTACATGTTAATACGCTGGGATAGTAACGTCCAGAGTTGAGACAGAGTTTCATTAGGAAAGAATAAATGGACAGTCGGGGTCCAAACCGGAGTCGTTTAAATCTCCCCACCACCTAGTGACACGCAGACAGCACTGATGGCTACCCGGAGTCCTGTCCGGGCCAACCTGCCTCCTTCCTCCCTTCCCACTCCCGGTACTTGCTGTACTGCCGCCGGCACATGCAGAGCTGCTGGGGGTCGGGACGCCAGCCTGGAACCTGGCGTGTACAATCTAGCCCAGAACAGTCGTTGAAGGGACACTGCCACTTTTGCTTTCAAAGGAAAAGGAAAAACTGCTCCCATGTACCTGCCTCATCGAGTGCTCACCTTCTGTCGTGGCTGTTGCCTTGCCCTGAAACTCGGCTGGCTTACAGAGTGGCCCGACACGGTCCCCATCCCTGAGACCCAGAGGCAAGGCCAGAGGCCAGCTGGGCAACTCCATGTCGTCACATGTTCGAAATGAGGAACTGTCCACACACAATGTACTTTGTGTACCAAAGCAATTGATGCTTTTTCCAAAAAGCATAAATACCATTTAAAACAAACAAACAAACAAACAAACAGAGCAGCAAGCCCGTGAGCATTTTGGTCTCTATAAGAAAAAAGCAGTAAGCCGTCCCCTGTTACCTAGAGCCAGTTCTGGACTGATCCACAAATCAAGACCAGCTCCAGCAGACCCAGGACGAGCTCTGTTTGGCATCTGACTTCCACGTTCCTGTCTCTGTTCTGGGGGAGAACCAGTGTCTCTCTAGATCTCTTTGGTGACCCCTCCCTGATTTCCAGAAGTTCAGTCTGGCTGCTTCCAGAGATGGGGCAGGTGGTGTGGGAGGAGCTGGCAGGCAGAGGGGGCCTGGAGCTCAGGCCCCCGCCTCCCTCCTGCTTTCTGGCCTCTCATTCTCAGAGGCTGCTGGCCCTTTTGACCCACAGCTATTTTTCAGATCTTTTGATCAGACAAGAAAGAAACTGAAGACGTTTTTCTTCTAAGGAAACCTGGCTTCTCAATAAACTTATAACAAGGCTTTCATTAATTAACAGGAACACCCTGGAGTGGAAAGCGCACACAGTGGCAGACCCCGCGATTTGGAAGGCATTTAGTCATGACTTCTGGGTGGACTTCCAGCTGAGGAAGGTGGAGGTTTCTCCCCAGGACCTGTGGAAAGTTTTAGGAAGCACTTAGGAAATGTAGCTGGAATTTTTCTCCTTACTCTCAGTAATAGTGAGGCTCAGAGATGATTCCGCCGTTTGTCAGTAACTGAGGCTGAGCGTTTCAAGGTCTCTCTCCAGCTGGTGCCACGAGGGGCTGTGGGCCAAAACCAGCCACCAAGGAGCAACGGGAGTGGCATTTTGGCAGACCACAGGGTCTAGAACCTGAATTTAATTTTCCTATCCTTGCGGAATTTTGAAATCCCATCCGCAGTGTCTGACTGAAACATGCAGGTACTTCAAAACGTTTTTGTGTAAAACGTTTTAAAACGTTGGTGCAGAAAAGTTTTAACAGTTTTAAAATGCATAATTTTTTCATAGCATGTGTTTTCCGTTAACTTTGGAAGACCCCTTGTACGTGTGGAAGCACGTGAAGTAGGTAAATGTTTTTCTCCATCTGCATCCTTGCAAGGAGTATTAAGGAATGGACCATATTAACAACCAACAAGATACGTGTTAAAAGATTTCTTAGAGATTATATATTTTATTTTATTTAAAAGAAAATAAGTGCACCTGCAACTCCAATTCTAATATAGCAAAAATATTGCTCTTTTTTTCTAAGAAGTTGCATGCACTCGAGGGGGCGGGTGGTCTAAAATAAGCTCATATTTAATTCCATTTTCCCTTGAACTTTCTGAAGTCCCCTGTATTGCAGGTGTATCACTGTACCCCACCCTCAGTGGGGTGTGGTCACTTCAATCCCTTCTTCTCTACTTTTCCATCCCCTTGGGATTTGGGGCCCACTTGCACACGTGCCTGGTACATGTCTCAAACCACCAGTCCTGAGACTTGCACTGCATGGTTGGCCGTGTGGGAGCTGATTCCCTTAATCACGAGGCCCCAGGGCTGGCCCTCTGGATTTGAATAAGACACTGTGTTCTTTATGCCGTTTACACACAGCGTCGGTAGCTCGCTCTGTCTTTCCATTGTTCGACAGTCTATCACTGGGGCAGGACAGGGGAACAGTTCCAAGAATCAAAGGGCAGGGTATTTGAGTCCCTTCCTCCTTGGCAGTGTGACAGGAAGATGACGCCATTGCAATGTGAGGAAACTGTAGTACCACCCTAGCTGCAAGGCGGGCCTGGAAAGAGCTCCAGCTTTCTTTATATTTACAAAGTACTCAGCCAGTTTTTGAATTAACTTTCTTTACTCAGTGGAAATCATATTTATTGTATAAAAAATGATAAGTAAGCAGAAGCAAAAGCAGGAACTGTTTGTACCTGCGTTTCCACTGACAGTCATTTTAGTACCCTGGGATGTGTCCCTTTGGGATATCCATTTAGGTACTCAGGTTTG